ACATATTAGGTTGTTATACTGCTGTAGTGCTATGTCACTTTCTAAATTAAACAAAAAAACAGAAGTCGGCATGGCTACTTACATTCACTGTCATGACAAAAGGTGGGAAAGGGGCAGGGGCTTCAATAATTGAAAAGGAAAGAAATCCAGGCAATCTTAAGTGCTAACAGGATAAGAACTGTCTCTGGTGTGAATGTAATGATTGCTCAAGTGAGAGATAAAATAGATCGCACCGAAGATAAGAGCCATTTAAACGTGACTCAGATAACTCCAGGTTTCCCCATCTAGTTGTGCTCCAACTGTGTGTTAAGTCTCCTATGAAAAGCCACTGTGCTTTACATTGGCTAGACCATGTGTTTTTTTAAATTTTCAATAAAAAATAGTTGTTGACAAAATCATGTGCAAAATGCCAAAGTCTTTATAAAGCTTTTTTAAATTTAGTGGTACAAAACCCCAGTATTTTACTTATTTATTTCTCATTGTCCTATTCACCTGGGCACCCAGGAAATACATTAGGAATGGACTGGACTTCGGCTCTCCTTTCTGTCAAATGTATTTATTTATTTATTTATTTATTTATTTGATTTATATCCCACCCATCTGGTATATCATACCACTTTCACCTATCTCATATAGACTAATTTGGAGTTCTCCAGGTGGCACACGAGGCTGCTGTAATCAGGGCTCCCAAAACCACTTATATGTGCAGAATTAATGACATGACTTTGTGGATCCATTTAGCAGCCTGCAGCAAAGTGTTATGTACCATCTCTTCTACTGCTATGGCATAGAGTTCTCTGTTGCTACCTACAGATAGAAAATTTGGGCTTCATTTACTTATTTATTAAAATCATGACGTTTTTCAAGGCACTACTTGGTGCAGCAAATAAATCTGACAGCCTCTTTAAAAAATCATGCACTATTTTTAGTATTTGCCATTTTTCTCCCTTTCTTGATGTAAAACCACATGAGGGCAGAATATTGCTAGGGGGGAGATTTTTGAGGAGACCCACATAATTGCCACCATTAAAAACATTATTGTGGGTCATCAACTATGGAACTATGTATCACAGTTATTAAAATTCATCAATTTTCATTTTTTAAATGTTAAATTGAAGAAATTTATTAAACTAAGAAAATCGCAGCAGACATACTTAGACAAAATCATTAATTAGTCTATTTCACTATTAGTCTTCTCTGATGCATGTTGTATGTATATTAACAAGATGGATGAGGGAATATATATGAACATAAAATTCTGGGATTACCATAATCAAAGGAAATTTGATGGCACATAACAAAAAAACAAAAAACAACAGGAAAGTTTTTGGTTTATAGATGTGTAAGTCATTGCATATTTTAAGAATCTATGGTGGGTTATATATAGCCAGAAAACTGAATGTATGTGGAAAGTATTGTGACTTTCTTAAGTTATGCACTGCAACTCAGTTGTTTTTCTAGAGAATAACAGCACAGTAATATTCTCACATGATTTGCCACATGCAGTAGTCAATACAATTTGTCCTTCCTTTTTGGTCCGTCTAAACAGATGACTAGATGTTTCTTTCATCCCGTAGCATTCCTTGTTCTGGATTTTCTTCTTATACGCATTAGATGTAACTGTTAGTTTTTAAATGGATGAAAAATGATACTGGTAGATCAAAACTTGGTTCTAATTTAACCTGGAAATAGGACTTACAGTATAACTCTCTGGATAAGATGCATTAATATTGTTTTAATGGTTGGTTTTTTATTCTAAAAGAAACAATGTTGATAAATGGAAATATACTTAAATCAACCCCAACTTTACCACCTTCTATCTTACTATCCAGAAAATACTTCCACTTATAGATTGTTAATAACACAGACCATGTCTCCACCAAAAGAAGTGTAGATTTTACCAAGAAACTTGGGTGTACTCTTGTACTCATCCTTGAATCTGGACACTTAGGTCTCAGTGACACCCAGGAGTACATTTGCACATTCAAAGCTTATGTGCCAGCTGCATCCATTCCTGGAGATGTCTGATTTAACTATGGTGACATATGCCATAGCTACATCCCACTTTGATTTTTGTAATGTGCACTATGTGGAGATGCCTCTGAAGACATTTTGGAAACTTCAGCTGGTTCAAATTTCCACAACAAGGCTGCTGACCAGGGCCAGTCACAGGAAACATATAGCTCCCCTGCCACAACAGCTTCACTGGCTACCAGTCCATTTTTAGGCCAAATTCCAAGTGCTGATTATGACCTGTAAACTCTATATGGCCAGGGTCAAGGCTATCTAACAGACAGTATGTCCCCCTATGAATGGAGGGGTACTGTTCTGCTTCTGAGGTTGACTTCGGCAACTACAGTGTCCTATCTGAAAGTTGATGGAAGTCTATGGATGGCTTCCTTTCCATGGAAGAGGTTTCATTTATCCTAGCTCTCTGAAGGTTATAGGAAGGTTATAGGAAGGTGGGAATTTTCTTCAATTTTGTTATGAGTTTGATTTAATTAATTAATTTAATGTATTTTGACTGTTTTTTTTTCCTATTGAATTACTTGTGAACTGCTCAGAGTGGCCATTGGTCAGATGGGCAGTATATAAATCAACCAACCAGATAAATAATAAATAAATACATAAGATGAAAAGTCCAGGACAATTCCCATGTACGGAGCTTTCAGCCCAGGAAACTATAAAAGAAGAAGTTACTGGAAAACAGGTGAAGCCTATGAGGAAGATGGACAGAGAACCAGATAGGGCGAGGGTGGGAGGGACTGTCTAGAGGCAGAGTTCAATGGAGGCAGAGCAGAGTGGAACCAAAGAATAAGCTGATGGCAAGTGAGGCCAACAGTTCACAGGTCTACGCCTATGCCTACTTTTTACCAGACTGTCTCTAACCAATGAGAATGGGAGATCTTGCCAGCAGCACCGAGTGAGTCCCCAACTATAAAAGTCACACTGGCCAGTGCCAACTGAGAAGGTGGAAATACCAGAGACAGTTTAAAAGACTGCAACAGATGGCCAAGAACCTGAAAGAAGGAAAGACTAAACCACAAGCTTTCCCCCTTTCTGGTTGTGTTTCAGGCTTAGCATCACTAGAGGGAAAGGAGAATCCCCTGGACATGACAAAGAGACTGGACTATAGGATGCAGAAGGATTGAGTGGAGTCCATGAGTCCAATTATTGTCTTGCAAATAGTACGGCAATAAAGGTTTGGTTGGTTGTAAAGTCTGCGAGACTATCCTTTTGATAACAAGCATGCCTAGTGGTCTGTTAAATACCCATCAAAGCCCCCTCACACTCCCTATTCTCCCCCTCAGCTTCTAGGATCTTCAGGGGAAGCCTGTCCATCAGTTTTATGACCTTCACAGGCACATCTGGTGGGAACCTTTTCAGAGGCCACACCCAGCCTGTGGAATGCCATTCCTTGAGAAGCAAGGTTGACTTCCTCCCTCTTGTCCTTCTGGTGACAGGTGAAAACTGTCCTTGTCAGACCACCTTTTAACAAGTAGGCAGTGAAGAGTTTTTATCTTCAGTGCTGGACACTATTATTCTTACTTTGTTTGTATTTTAATATGTTTTGTGGTCTTTTTAAAATCGGTTTTAACTAATTATTTTAATACTTAATATAATAATTTATCATGGGTTTAGTCAGTTTTTTTAAATAAATTATGACTCACCTTTTTAACTGGGAGAAATATTACATACAATGGAATAAACAAATAAACAAGCTAAATTTATTACATTTCAGAAGCATATTCCCCACAACAAATGAAAAAGAAATGTTCACATTAAGTTATTAACTTTGAATTTTTACTTGTCTTTCACTTCTAGCCCATTCTGAATTCTCAGCAAGTATTGTTTTCTCCCAACCAAGTAGGGGAAGAGGGTTTCTTTTCTTCATCTGGGACTTGGGACAATGAGACAGAAGGCTTCTAATTTCTTTGGGAAGCCTTAACAGATGGATTTGGCCATGCTTTATAGTCAATGATTTGAATTTTGGAACTGGGAATCATTTTCCTCCAGACCACTTGGCCCTGTGACACCCTCTTTTATGCTCTGTTTTGTTCCCTGCTTGAGTCTGGAACAATTTGCTCTCTGAATGGATGCTTCTGCAGCATAGTAGAGAAGGCCACAGTTGAGCGGCAGAGTACGTGTTCTGTACACAGAAGGTCTCAGGTTCACTTCTTAGCCTTTCCAGGTTAGATATCACATGAAGGGAAGGTGAGGGGAGAGACTGCTGTTTGAAACCCTGTAGAGCTGTCCCCAGTTATATTAGAAAATGCTGAGCTAGATGGACAAAGAAACTCATTGGGCACAAAGCAGTTTACTATCTTTTTTTGTATCTACATTTTGCTTGAGTTTTGCCATTTTCTGGGCTAAAATATGAGACATGACTATGTGAGAAGATGGCCTTGAAACACAGGGCTAAGGCTGATGCCATCTGGATTCTTTCTTAGTAACTGAATAAAATGTAACTTGTTAAAATCTACAGTAGCATTGTGGGGGTGTTTAATCTCATAGTATTCCTTGAAACTGCATTCATTTATACTCTGCTTAGTAAGTCAGAGCCATGTCAAAGGAAAGCTGTATTTTGGAAACCCAGGGTCACAGAACTAAACTGAAAAGTCAAATATGTGTTAGAAAGCTTATGCACAATATGAAAGAAATTCATAATATAGATCCAGTAGCAGACACTAGAGCCTCATAGAATGCTACTTTGGATGGTGCCGTCACTGTTCATGGTAGTTTTTCCACATGTACAGGGAGGGAGGGAGGGAGGAAGGAAATGAAGTGCAGGACATTTCTGCAACAAAAATGAAGAAACTACCAACCTACACTGGGTGGTCCTCACCACACACAGCTACTGCCAGATTAACATATAGTTTGATATAGGTACAGCTGACCACAATAAAAGGTTTCCCCAAAAATGCAGTAATGGGTAATAATTAGAAAAGTTGTGCTTATCTGATTTTCTTTGGGCGAGTGAAGTGAAATGAGTTACTGACCTTGAATTGTCCTCTTGAAGAAAGCCTTGCAGGCCTCACATGAGGCCACGCCATAGTGGTACCCTGATGCAATATCACCACACACCAAACAGAGTCTTTTGGGCATTGAGTTCAGCATGTATTCACACTTGGTTTGTGAATCTTCAGCAATGGTACTGGAGCAGTCATCGTATCGTTTCCTGACAGGACCATTACCCCCAAGGCCTGGGGCAGAAGGGTAGAGTGGTGGTGAGTCTAGCCCATTCTGATGTCCATTCATGGTTGAACTGTAGCTCCCACTGGCGTCCGAGGAGCCACCAGGGCTGTGGTGATTGATGCTGTCCGTCAAGGAGGCGGGGCTGGATGGTTCCGTCTTGATATATGACGAACAGCTAGAATCAATGTGTCGATCCTTGCTTGACATTCTGCAGAGAAGCCTGCATTGTAAAGAGACAGGGAGAGACAAGTTTCTGTGCATTAAAGACAATACTCTTTAAAGGCAGCACTGCAAGGGCTAAGGACCACACATCATTCATTCATCAGTCAATACCTCTTGTTTTACATGAAGGTAATCAGCATAAGGGCATGACAGAGCTTTATCAAAGCTTCAGACAAGCAGTAAACAAAAAAAATTCAAGAAACTGAATCCTTTTTATTTTTTCTCCTTGTTCCTGCCTTGTGATTTTTCCTTTCATCATTACATTCCAGTACCTGTCATTTGCAATGACAATGAATTTACTACCATACAGTTCCTAGACTCACAACCACGACAACAGATACAAGTAAAACTTTTTCATATATATTTATATTTGAATAATGTTTTCTCAGTAATTACAGTTCGTCAGCATGTTTCAGTAAAGCACAACTGCATTTTCTATTGATTGGGCTTCAGAGAAAATCATTTTACATCTATTTTGGGGGGCAGGGGGGGAGAGAGAGAGAGAACTATTTAGTAGTAGATCATCCCAATTTCCAGGAAATAATTAAAGTTTGACTTTTGTTTCACAAAATCTAAGTGAAATGATTCATCAGCTTTGTCTGCTATTTATTACTTTCAGTCATTATTTTCAAAACTAACTAACAATAATTAGGCAAGCATCACTTATATCTGAAAGTGCATATTAAGTACTTTCCAGTATTTCAGAAGGTGGTTTACATCTCTTCTGCTTTAAAAATAGGAGAAAGATGAAAATTTTACTTGGTGAAAGATTACATCATTGACTGTATCAGTGCTCTTTAAATTTTAATATCTAAACCAGCACAAAGACATTTGAATTTTAAAATTATTTATTGTTGTGTGGTAAGTGAAACACTGAGTTTTTCTTAGTAGTACCAACGTGTATTAGATATTAATAGCTACTCCATTAACTGAGACAAAAATGGCAATTCAACTTTATAATTCTTGCTGCTATCACTACATTTGCTATGTTGTTGCTTCACTTACCGTCCCATTGTGGTATTTTCTGGGTGGTTTACAACATAATTATACAACAACCACTTTGCCCCCAGCAAAGTACTCTGGGTACTCATTTTACTGACTTTGGAAGGGCGGAAGATTAAGTAAAACCTGAGCTAGCTACCCAAATCTATTGGGATCAAACTCAAGGTTTGTGAGCAGAGCCTTGACTGAAATACTGCAGCTTAACTTTATGATACATACAGAGGAGGGGCAAGATCCGTTCTGGGTCATCCCAGTGTGCAGGACATGCAACAATGGGCTGAAGCTAAAGGAAGCCAGATTTTGGTTGAATATCAGGATAAACTTCCTAACTGTTAGAGCAGTACAACAGTGGAACCAGTTACCTCGGGAATTGGTGAATGCTCCAACACTGGGAGCATTCAAGAAAAATTTAGGTAATCACCTGGCAGAAATGTTTTGATTGTATTCCTGCATTGAGCAGAGAGTTGGACTTTATGGCCTTGTAGGCCCTTTTCAACTTCACTTTTCTATTATTCTATGCAATAAGAGCCATTTAGCCTTTCAAACAGAAGCAAACCTAAATTGGGTGTACATTCAATAGTGTACTGCATCCGATTACAGTTCTATGGCATATGTACATTCCTGATACACAGGTTGCTTTTTTGGGTGAAAACATTTAAAGTTTCACAAATGAACTATAATATGTGAAACAGGCTGCAGAACAGGAGAGGAATTCTTGCAGCAATGCCTTCGACAAAGTGCCTCATGATATTCTGATTAGCAAGTTAACTAGGTGTGCACTGGATAGAACAACTGTCAAGTGAATACACAGTTGGTTATAGAACTGTACTCAGAGAGTGCTTATCAATGGCTCCATCTCAAACTGGGAGGAGGTAACAAGTGGGGTACCATAAAGCTCTTGTTACCTCCTCCCAAAACTGGGAGGAGGTAACAAGTGGGGTACCATAAAGCTCTTTATGGTACCTCACTTGTTACCTCCTCCTAGGACTGGTGTTCTTCTACATTTTTATTAATAAGTTGTATGAGGAGGTTAGAGAACGTTTATCATATTTGCAGACGACATAAAATAATCTAATATCCTGAAAGCTAAAATCAGTTAATACCCTGGAAAACAGGAATAAAATTCAAAAAGATTTTGATAGGCTTGAGCACTGGGTTGAAAACAACAAGGTGAAATATAACAGGGATAAGTGTAAAATTCTACACCTGGGGGTGGGAACCAAGCACACAGTTACAAGATGAGGAAATACTACAAGCAAAAAAGAATAATGGAATTGTTGTCAATCAAAAGTGTGATGTGGCTACAAGAAAGGCAAATGCTATTTTAGGCTGCAAATCCCATAAAGTACTAGTTCCCCTCTATTTGGCACTGGTTAGGTCAGCCTTTAAGAAGGATGCCGACAAACTGGAACAAGTTAGAGGAGGCCAACAAAGATGATCAGGGGATCGATAATCAAGTCCATTGAGGAAAGACTGAAAGAACTAGGCATGTTTACTCTTGGGAAAAGAAGACTTAAGTGAGTTATGAAAGAACTATACAAGTTTAGCCTTGAGAAAAGAAGACTGAAGACAGATGTGTTGACATTTTTCAAGTAACGGAAAGACGGTCATACAGAGGAGAGGCAAGATCTATTCCCGGTCATCCCAAAGTGCAGGACACGTAAAAATCGACTCAAATTACAGGAAGTCAGATTTGTCATACAGAGGAGAGGCAAGATCTATTCCCAATCATCCCAAAGTGCAGGACACGTAAAAATAGACTCAAGTTACAGGAAGTCAGATTTCAGTTGAGTATCAGCAGAAATTTTCTACCTGTTAGAGCAGTACAACAATGGAACCAATTACCCCAGGAGGTTGTGAGCACTCCAACTTTGGAAGCATTCAAGAAAAATTATACAGCCATTTGTCAGACATACTTTGATTTGAATTCCTGCACTGAGCAGAGGGTTCCATTCAACAGCCTTATAAGCACCTTCAAACTCCATGCTTCTATGAAAGATTTCATAAACCTTTTGGAAACTGTTACCAACATTACAAAATTCCAACTGATTAACTGCTTGACATTTAACAGAACATAATCAATCAATCAACTCATGTATAATTTGTATCATATCAATAAAGGGTTCCTGTGGTTATGAATGACAATCAGATTTGTTTTGAAGTTGAAATGCTTCATTTAAAAAAAAAGTGAGTGTGCAATGGAGTTGGGAAGGAAACAAGGCCTCACATGACTTTGCTTCTATTCTTTCAACCAAGCAGCACCTTATGTTCGAGACAAATGTTTGCCTTTGAAACGCTCTGGTTGGTTGTCCATTGGAATCTACAAATTCACTCGCTAATACACTAAGGTTGAACGTCCACCAGCTGATGAGGAGAATGTCCAACAGCTTGCATCCATACTTTCATCTGAACTGTGATCTTTTACACAGTGGTTTCAAAAAGACAAAAGCCCTAAATTTCATCCCCAGGCCTCCTCTGGAAGAGGGTATGGGCCACTAACAACTGGGTTAGAGTGTTGCTTTCCCAAGGCACTCCTACACTGCTTCTGTTTGACTACTGTAAATGTAGCAAATTTGGGCACCTGATAGATACAGAGAAGTAAATTTGTATGTATCCTTATGTATTACTCTTTAACATGCAGGTCAGAGTCTAACTGAATATGTATGCTAGCGTAAGTGCAATGGCACATCTCGGACCAAGAAACAGTTGATAAAAAAAAAGTCCCTGACAGAATTGCTAGTCATGCACTGAGTCAAGCAACTGGTGTGCAACTAGGAATTCAACTGGGGACTCCTGAATTAGCAGTTATTAATGACCACAAGTTACCCCACTGCACTTAGGCTGGTGAAAATATTCAGTTGGATTCTGGCTGTAACTTCAGTTTCCAAGTAACAATAACAAGGAGGTCCTCTATCCACTTTGACCTGTCACCTGGATTCTTATAAATGAGCTTCGGCTCAAGCTACAGTACTCACTTTTTCCCCAAACAGAGCTTAGAGAAAGATCAGCACACCTGTTGCACACTTGCACACACCTATTTTGTCTTCACTTTACAATCTAGAAGAGATGTGATGACCAGCTTCCATCCTGGAACACTGGTGAGAAATCAGTCAAGATGGCCAGTTACAGAAGAGGACTTCAGAGGCATCTCTCAGGCTGTTTGTCTTGGGACAGGGTGTGCAGCTGTAAAGTCTTCAAACCATTGGCCCTCTGGTTTAACAGAGAGATTTCCAACCTTGGAAGTTTGGAATGGTTTTCTTCTGCTTACCAAATAATTGTTTTCCCAACCAACTTTCTGTCTCCTTCCAGTTCCCACAAATGATACCTGGAATATTCTAGTCCAAACTTTCAGTACAGCAGTATTGTTGTACTTCTTTAGCTCTTGTGGTACTGCCCAGCATGCTGGTACCTTTCCCTTGTTTTGAAGTGGTTCTATTTTGGCTACAATCCTGTTATCATTCAACACCTGAGACGGTTATTAGAAAGAATAAAATCCAAAATACGCCTCTATAAGAAGGATGCTTCCTAATTAATACTTAGCTCACTACACTGAAGGCTTCCTTGAGCTACTATTATCTTGTACAAAAAAAAGAAGTTCAAATTTAATTCCTTTTTCTCTGTACACGATTTTCTGCAGCTCTTTTAAGCCAGCCTGAAATATTCACAACTGTCTATAAATTCAATTGTCAGCTAGTGATTTTTATTCCAGACCTCACTTCAATCTAAAATTAGAGGCACTAAAATTCACATTAACTCTAAGAGGAATGTAGTGAATAGGACTTTATTTCAAAAGAACACCTTTTTGTCAGAAAGAGCTATTCTCAAGATGATGGCTTTATCTGCATTCAAAGTCCAATTCCACATTGTGCTGTTAATACAATTTTTTTTAAGGTCACAGCAGATTAATAAAAATCCAAATGTAGTTAACATTTGCAATGAGAAATAATGTGTCTCATATTTAAACATGCAATATTTATTTTAAAGCCATGGTTGGAT